TCCACTTCGCAAACTTCGATCGGGACGAGTCTAAGGGCTCCCGAAGCGGACTTATTCTTTCCAAAAACTGGCAACAGCACTTGATCTTAGAAAGCTGACACTCAAGCGCTAAAACCCTTGGCCGCTAAACCCGAGGACCTTACAGCCTAAAACCTGGACCCTGAACTAAACTTGAATGCAGTTAGTCTTGACCGCTGTGCCACAGTGCTGGTTCTCTAAATTGGGTCCCTTCCCACCAAAGTAAATCACTCTGGCAATAAGGAGGGCGCCTCGACGTCCTAGCCTAGCAGGCCTTAAGTAATCAGTGGCCTGCTTGTTATTGCTTTGACACCCTGTCAACCCTGCAGACGCCCAACCGAGACAAGACAATTTTATGAAATTTTGACAGCCCTAAGCACCGGAATCCCACCCCAATAAAAAATTAACACATAAACCCCAGCCACGAAGCCCTTAAACCCCTCAACGCAAACCCTCCCTACACCCGAAACACTCACCTAAACCCTTAACCCCCAAACCCCCCTGCAACCCTAAACCCCCCCAAAACTCCTAAACCCCCTAAGCCCCGAAGCCCAAGGAAGGGCCCGGGGCGCATGAAGCTCCAACGCCTCGGCGGGTCTCAGTCCTACTGGTGCCCCAAGCTTTGGTGTCTTTCGGGTTTAGGGTTTTTAAGGTTTTGGGTTTGAGGTTTCAGGTTTTGAAGATTTAGGTTTTAAGGTTAGGGTTTAAGGTTTTGGGTTTTTAAGGTTTAGGCTTTAAGGTTTAGGGTTTAGAGTTACAGCACAGTAGTAACCATTATACCTTTTGAAGGTTCCTTGGAGGGATCTAGAGGGATACTGTAGGATTTCTGTAAGGGTGCCGCAAGGGTTTTTAGGGTGGCTTGCACCTTCTTGGAAGTCTAAGCTTGGCAATACCAAGCCCCATTTTACCCCTATTAACGGTACACACCCCCGAAATGTAGAAACTGATCGAGGTCCAGAAAAATCAGATTTTTTTTGGATTGTGATGAACTTTCCGCACAACCTTCGAGGGTTGAGTGCTTTGGACTAGGACTAGGCAGTTCGCAGGTTTGGCTTTGAACTTTTGGGCGTAAATGTTTGAGGTTTCGGGTTCTGGTCGGCAGTGCTACTTCACCTGTGTATGTTGGGGAAACCCGGTATTTGTAGGGATTATATGGCCGTTACAGCCCTTATCTGAAGTGGAACCGTTTACAGAGCCCTTTATAGAACCCAGTAGTGGCAGACCAACAGATCCCTGGTATCGCATGAGCGAAGCCGGACCAGAAACAGCAGTGTACGCATAGTGCCGTTAGTGACATCTTTGATAAAAACCCCCAACCCCCAACCCCTTAGTGTACATGCAGGCATGAATACATACATGCATACATACATACATACATGCATCTATATGCACATGCAGAGGTAGATGGGTGTATGTGTATATATATATATATATAGACGTACATGCAAATGCGGGCTTCTACCATATAATGACATCATTTAGAACCCTTATACCATCTAAGAGAAGACCTCGAGGTGTCGGCTTGAATCCCCAACTCTCCGAGCCCTTCGTTGTGGGTCTTCGGCTCTGCCCTTCTACTACCTAGACCTCCTCGGCACGCAGGTACGGCAAGCTGTTCATCCGTGCCCCTGTGCCAACCTGAAGGGGTAAGGACACGATGGCAATCCAGGTGTAGGGTTGCATGCCACTCGAAAAGCCGCGACATTCGGAATAAAACGCTGCTTCAGCTCCAGCAGACATAAGCCCACTCAGTAGCCATGGTCAAGATGCGACTGGTGGTCATGATTGCCTCGTGGCCGGTGGGATAGAACATGCGACTGCCTTGCTTCGTATACGGTACAATTATACCAGCACTGTCTGGCACAGCTGGATCGCAGCATTCTGCCTGGCAAGCTTTTGTCATATTACTGGTTTCACTCGTAGCTCGAGGGATGTTCCGGGGTTAAAAACGTGAACGGCTTGGGTTCCAGCCCCAGAGATAGTCTGGAAGCACCTTTGGTCCGTAATCCTCTACGAGTCATTTGGAGTACCTGAGTACAGTACCTGCCGTGTTTGACTTGTGGCTTTCTTGCAAAAGTCCGACTATGATCTCCGCACGACATGTTGAAGAGAATCTTGGTGAGTTCTGGGACAAGTCACGGGCAGGGTCCGTGAGGTGTATTGTAGGGGTCTTAACAATTATGTAGCAGGGTTCTGGGGCCCATTATATTGTAGCTATAATAGGAAACCCTCAAAATAGTATTGGTAATTCTTAAGGCCTTTACTTCATAGTACCCTTTTTTAAGTCTCTTATAGTAGCCCTTCCAGGCTCCTTGACAGGAACCCTATCATAAGAAGCAGGCTGTCGGTCAAGTCGTCTCTGGGCCTTTTGAAGGGTTTCACTATGTTGATTCGCCGGGCGTTGGGAAGATAATGGAGGTGCCTCAATAATGACCTATATCATTTGGCGGGGGGGAGGGGGTGGGGTGGATCCTTATTATGGTTCTAGTAGAATATACCCCGAAACCATATTCTATTTTTTAGGGCCCTTATCTGAACATTCTGATTTGGAACTGAGCCTTGCTTGGATTCGTATACTGCCGCAGGTGAGGCCTCGCCGTTTCTTTACTGCAGCTGGGAAGACTACCCAGAGAGCCCAATACCCCTTTAACAGAAATATTCCTTAGATAACAGAGGGACCCCTTAACCGGAGAAGATTTAAGATTCCTTGAACGGAAATATTCCTTAAATAATGGAGGGGTCCCTTAACAGGAGAAGATTTAAGACTGACTGCCCAACTAAGGAGTATTGGGCAAGCTATCGTAGCAGGACGGAAGGCCGCTGTTGTCGCATCAATCCCGTAGTCCCCCGGCCCACTCGTCATGTACGGTGCCACGAGAAATTCAAGCCAGTGATTGCTGAGGTGGCCTAGGAACCGTAGAAATTCTAGAAAGCGGCTTTGAATGATGACCCTAAGCCTTGAACCCTGAAAAAAAGCTTCGAGCGAACGGTGTCGGCCTTCCCCCACCAGACCGCCCATGCTTGTACCGTCAACTCTGCTATGAAGCGCCGCGAAAAGTCGAGTACGATCTCGCTGGAAGGCCAGGCCTTGCAAGACTGGCAAAGACTGCTGAAGCCTCCTGTGAAGTGGAGCGGGCTCAGACTAAGCCTACCGCGGGTATCTGTGTGCAATCGAAACTAGAGACGTTTTGCTGGGTAGCTTCTCTGTCGAAGAGCAAAAAACAAAGGGCAAAGCCAAAGTGCATCCTTTCCCAGAACAAGCTCAGCTCCACTGCGGAGGACAGCGGCAGCAACAGTCGCAAGTAACAAACTCTTCAGTAAACTTGCTACTGAACTGCTTCGACGTAGCATGCAAGCCTGGATTCGCAATGTAGAGTGATTGGGGGTGCTGCTGTATGTCGTATCTGTCACTGTTGCGAGGTTCATCCTGCACCCATGAGCGAGGAAAGCAACTTTAAGCACACAGCTGTTCCCTGAGTTTAAAGTAGACGTCCCCATGCAAGCCCGGAGCCGGAGAGACGTGTGGCAAGTCTGGCCGAAACCTTTCATCGCCCTCGAGACGACTCGATGCTCAGCTAGAAGTCTTCTTCTTGCCGTCCGCAGTTCCCGGGGCTCTGATGCTTCTGCTGGGGCTGTGCACCCAAAAAGCTATGTAGGTCTGTGAAAGCTTGTCATAGAGCTCGGCACATGGCCGTGCGCTGGCTCTTGATTTCTGCCAGCTTCTACTACCTGTCGGCAGAGCGCTGGAGCCTCAGCTTTGGTTCCTTTTTGTGGGACTGCTGGGCGTGCTGCGCCCCTCTCAGAGGCCTCGCCGACCAGCTTTTGCTGAAGGAAGCCGACAGCTTCCTGGCTCGCCGTGAGGGCCAAGGCCGTCTGACTCAAGCTTGCCAGCCCCCCGCTTGTTGCAATCCTTCGGGGATCGGCGGGCCCGAGGTCATGCTGCGAAGGAGCAAAGCAAAGCACCGCTTGCTTCCCACGGAGTCCAGGATTCCGCGAGTCCACCTTTGTGTCCGTCCTTGCCCCGCGCTTTCCTGCCACTGCCGTTCAGGAGACGCCGGATGTGACTGGGACCCGAGCTGATGTCAAGGCACAGACCAGTCCTGTTGCAAACGCTGGGCCTTTTTTCTCGGGATTTCTGCAATACAGAGATACGTTGGCCTTCGCACAATGACGGTGCACCATGAGACAATGCCGAAGACGACGTTCAGTCAAGAATGCAAAAGTAGATCTCAGATCCGAAGATGGCCCCAGATTTCGAGGTCTGGAAGCCTCTGAGACTCCAACTGCAGGTGGGTCTTCCAAAGTGTTCGGACGGAATCCTCAAGCTCGAGGGACGCTACGAGGCCCATGCGGTGGTCTTATACACCTTTTGTATAGATTTCGGGCTTGAGAATGCCTCAGTTTGGAAACCCCATGGTCTCGGCAGAACGTTTTCAACTGCCGGGGGCAAGGAGACTTGACATGACACACTTTCTCGTTTCAGCTTAAAGGCCCAGCCTAGGAATTATCGGCTTAAGATCGATCTTGTACTTGCTGAACAAAACCAGTGCAGCAAACAAGAGCTCCTCAGCGAGGGATTCTGCCATGCAGGTGTGGAGGGACCATTGTGCCGGGTGGTAGGGAGTCGGGACCTGAGAGAGGAAGTTAGAGAGAGAAGGGGGTTTTGGGGGAACTCGCCCCGAGGCGCCGAGCTGCTCCTCTGGGCACCGGTGCACTTCCAGGGCGACACCGCCTTTGAGGGGCGATTGAAGGTCCGGGCCGCCGGCGACGGCGAGATGAGCGGCCCTTGCATCGTTGTGGAGGGCAAGCAGAAGCACGCCTCAGCCTTGAGGGCTGCAAGAACAAGGCTGAAGGGAGCCAGCGGAAGGGAGGTTGCCTCCGCGTGGCCGGCGACGCAGAGCTTCTGAGCGGCCAGTTGAATCTTCGTGCCTGCGTCGCATCTTCAGACGACCTTTCCTTCGAAGACGACTTTGGAGGTGGTGATGTTTTTGTCGGAGGCCGGACCAGCATTTGCTGCTTGGCGTGCCGGGGGTGCATGCTGTTGATGCCGGCTGGCCGTTTCTGTTGGACGCACTCGGTAGATGTTTCAAGTTGTCAAGCCTACCTGCTCCGTGTTCTCATGTACAGCTGTGACTCTTGCACAGGCACGCTGCGAAATCGGAATGCGACCATACATTCAGAAGAATGTGAAGCAGACTATGGAGGTGGCGGTGGCGGGTATATGGTGCCGGCGACGATTTGGTTAATTTGGTTGGTGCATGTTGTGGGATCAAGGGTAAACGCTAAGCTTTCGTGCAAGCCTGTGGATATCACCATGGAGCATTGGCAAAGTTACCATCAAGGAGTCTCAGAGTTCCACCGGCAGTAGGGGAAGTGGGGCTCGGACGAGGGATCCCAAGAAGTGGCCTAGGGCTTAGTTTGGGCCGAGTGGTCTTGGAGTTACAGGCTGCAGCACCACCTGGGAGTTACAGTAAGGGCGAGGATTCCAAGTGAGCGGTCATGTTCTTGGGCTGATTGAAGCGAGGAAGAATTGGACCTGACCCAAAACACCGAGTCCTGTAGTGTGGGCTGGGGTTCGAGGGAGGGCCTGCTGTAGAGGCAGTGGTTGTTCAACTCTGCCACGCACGCAGGCGCCATCAATGCAAACAGCATGGTCGTCTCTGGTGGGAATGTCACCATCATGGAGTCTAAGGCTCAAAGCGGAGGCCTGCTGCTCGGTCGGACATGTCGGGGCGTCCGCTGGCAGCTGCCCTTCTCCTGTTTGCATTCTTGCGCCAGTCGTAAGTGAAATGCTCGCTCAAAGCACCACGTGCCCAAGGTGGAGCGGCTCCTGCGTAAGGCACGGGTGGTGTAAGCTGGGTCATCTTCTGATCTGTGGCCATTCGTGGAGCATCCGTGTCATGCTCGTATCGCATGGTTTGGAGAATTCATAGACGGCGCAAGCACTTGCAGGTTTTTTGCCGCTTTTTTCCGAATAAAAGTTCATGATGTCATGACCTTTGCCCTGAACCTGGATTCCAAAGGGTCCGAAATCCTAAGAATGCAAAAATCAGTGCCTTCAGTGTGTTCCCTTCGGGGCGGGAAAAGATGCCAAGAAGGGACCTTTGCCAGGTGTTCCTGGCCCTGATCGCCGCCATGCTCCCGGTCACTTTGTCGCCCGCGGCCTCCTCGGCACACCTCGAAAGTTCCCTACAGGTATGTGTCTACACACTACACACGCAGTCAAACACACACACATAGGCATACATGTATACAGACAGAGAGTCACAGATACAGATGCAGATGCATATGCATATAGAAGAACAAATCTGCATCTATACATGGTACATACATGCATGTGCATACATTGAAGCTGCTCACGGTCGAATTCGCATTCTGCAGGGGGAATTGTGCGGTCTCCGGGCAGCAGTGAGCTCTCCACTGAAGGCCCCTCAGATGGCAGCCGTGACTTTGGTTCTCATCGCATCCTTGGCGGCGCACCTGTACTTCTGGCCATACCAGGCCACATGGCCAATTGAGTGCAGGTTGGTTGGCCCAGGTTGCCCAAGAGCCTGCGCTGGGCCTTTGTGGGGTGCATTGTCCTGCTTGAGCATGTGAGGCAGATGCCTGGAACCGGGCAGAGGTCCGGCTGCTGCTCGTGAGCCTCACCCTCACTGGCCTGACCACCTGCCTCATCGACACTGGCCTGCACTCAGCGAGAGCGTTGGGGTGCTGGGTTCTGTTTGCAGCTGATTGTGAAGCGTAGGCCAACGACCTCCACTGGGCGAAGTCCACGTTGACGCAGCACGCCCTGGTCTTCGTGATCTGCTCCATCGCCGGAGACACCTGGCTGCTGCAGCCTAAATCCCAAGCCATCCCTCCTTCCCGTCTTCCAGAAGCACTTCATGAAGGGCAGCATGGCAGCTTGACCGAAGCTCAGAGAATCTGCATCGTCATGCTGGTCGCCTTCCTTTTGGCTTACATGGAGGAACGGCGCGAGAAAGACAAGGCCGAGAAGGCGGAGGAAACCTGAGCCGCAGGCGCAGAACTGTGGACGGTTCAGGGTTTTTAGGGGTTTAGGATTGTAGAGTTTATGGGGTGGAGGGTTCTTGAAGCTTGTAAAGCCACCTACAGCCTCAGAAACTCACTTCTGAATTCCTTTACACGTGATGGTCGCAGCCGAATCTGCAGCGACTGCTGCGGGTGAGGTCTAGATCTGCCGAAATGTGCTGACGATTGCCAACGGGGCCGTAGCGACTAGATCTAGTGAACATCTATAACTCATACTACAGGCAGAGGCCTTGAATGCCCGTTTAGAGAACGCTCGAAGTTTCAGGCCCCTACCTTTTTTGGATTCTGTTTCAAGGGTCGAGACGGTCGATGAGCCGAGCCGAGCCGGGAACCAAGCAGGGAGAAGGGATTCAGATTTATATTATTAGTATTATTATTATTATTATTATTGTTATTATTATTGTTATTATTATTATTTTCCTATTATTATTGGTACTATTATTATTATTACGGTTTTTTTAGGTTTTTGCATATAGCTTGAGGGCGGACCCGGTAGAGTCGGTGCAGACCGGATGCAAAAAAAGGTTTGTGTATAATGTACAGGGGCTTAGGGTTTAGGGTTTAGTTTAGGGTTTATGGTTTAGGTTTTTATGGTGTTCAGTTTAGGAGCTTTAGACTTAGGCAATCTAAGATGTAGGATTTCGGGTATAGGGATTGCGGATTCAGTGCATTTTTGGGGGGGCCGGGAGCTGTAAGCACCAGGGCAAGGATTTCAGGCTCAGGATTTGGAATTTAGGGTGTCAGGTCTAGGCTACAGGGTGGTTCAGGGCTCCTTTCAAGCATCCTAGCATTTAGCATCTGTGTTGAGTTCCCTTACTGAAACCTATCTCGCAAGTTGCCGGATCTCGGAGGGATCTATTGAAACAACGAGAGCCAGAGCCGGTGGATTGCCGATACAGCCCACTCTGTGCAGTTGGGGCATGTCCTGGGAAAATAGTTAATTGAATGATATCCCGGATCCCTCTTTTTGTCCTAATACGTGTACATGCATATATAGACTGTGAATTATACGTTACTCTACCCAGAAACCCAACTCTTCTTGCGAGGGCCCCTTTCAAAACGAAGTTCGGCAAGTTTCCGTGTCACCGTCGCAGGTGAGCCTTTGCATCCTCTTTTCTCGGGCCTTGTTGCTGAAAGGTCTTACTTGGGCAGGGGACTTAGTAAGTATGGGTCATAAGTAGGGTTATAATTGGGGTAACTCCATTTAGGGTACTTATAACTCTACTTATAACCTACTTACTAAGTCCCCTGCCCTTCCAAGTACGGACTGTTCCAGCAAAACGCGTGTTTCCGTCAACCCCGTACTCGCCATTGGGGTTGGTGTTGAGCGTGACGAGCCTCATCAGGGAGCGATATGGGAGTTGCCGAAAAGTAGGGTTACCTTATTTGGGGGTCCTGATACTAAGGATCCTACTATTTCGGGTACTATATTGGGGTCCCCTGTTTTCGGGAGAACCTCCCATATGGTGCTACGTTCCGACTCAATGTTTTTTGAAGCACAGGGTATGATTCCCACGTTTGAGTAGCTGCTTTGAGTGGCCACAGTGTGCGCAACACATAAGTCTTCGGCTCTCTCCAGAACTAAAATCTAGTCAAATCTTAATGAAAAAAGCTAGTTGAGCGATGTGTTGCGATCTGAAAGCATCTGCGGAATGCCTTGGCTGCTCAGCTTCCCCCTCCCCCCCCCCCCCCCCCGCACTTCATGCTCCCAGGATCGAAGATATCTACTCGTTGAGGCTTGAACAATTGGCAACAGCATCCCCTTCTAGATTCTAGCCCCCATATGGCAGTTTCCCAAAATAGGGGACCCTTATACAGTACCATAAACAGTAGGATCCTTATTATAAGGACCCCAAAATAAGGTACCCCTAGCTGGATTTCGCGTCCCTGTACCTTCCACCTGACGCTGTGTTTCATGGCCGTCGCTGTGTTTCATGGCTGTGGCTCCGAAGTACCTGCGGCTGTGTGAGTAACCCGGAACGGACGGAGCCTAATGTAGGAGGGCCTATAACCCCAAATAGAAGGGTCCATATAAGGAACCCAAATAAAGGCCCAAGGTTTCTTAATCAGGGTGTTACATTAAACAAGAGCTGTAGGTTTAGGATCCTAGCGCTTCGGGTTTAGGGATTTGGATTTGCTGCTTTGGGAGTTGATGCGTACAGGGTCGTTAGGTGCCAAGGGTTGCCTTACGTTGTAGATCATTTGAGTCTTTTGGATTGAACTGTTTATACCATACTATACTATACTATACCAGAATTAAGGTATAGTATCGTTTTTTTCAAGTGTATGGAACTCCGACGAGCTGTCTTGCTAGCCGGGGGTGGGTTGGAGACGCTCTGGGGGCACTTGCCTTGTCTGTCATATTGAAGTAGGCCTTCGCTTGACCCCATGCTGCTCCTTGACATCATACCCAGCCAAGGCACTGCCGAAATACACTACCACATAAGGTTGTGCTGTCGGCGCTGCTGCTAGTGCCTGTGCCTGCACGAAGGGGTCATGTGGTTAGTTACATATCTTCCGCAATGGCTATGTTGATGACTACCAGCCGAAGAGTAGTCTACGAAGTGCATACCTACCTAGCTAGCTAACTAACTCGCTAGCTGGCTACCTACGTGCCTGCCTACCTATCTACATACATACATACGTACATGTACACGTATATGTATACATATATACACAGCTAGCCAGTAGATCGGTTTTTTGCCTCGCTGCAAAGGTGTTCAACATTGAAAAGATCATCTCTGGACTGCACTCTGCAGTGTACATCCCGAAGCCGAAACCTGACCCATGACAAGCCCACAGTTTCAAAGCCAAGCCCCAAGAGCTGGTTTCAGCTAAGTTTCTTGGGCCGTGATTAGGCGAGGTCTTTATATTGAAGGAACACGCCTTAGGCTGTAGACTGACATGCAGGTGATTGCCCACGTTTTGGGTGGGTTTGTGCTCGAGATGCGCTGTGCCACCCTCAACGAAAAAGCGAAAACTACCCAGCGAGCCCAACGACCTCAAGCAAGCGATGCCCCTTAAATTGTAAGGTGGTCGTGCTATAGGTCGCTCAAAGGAAGATTTCGGCTCTCCAAGCACCCTTTTATGCAGACATTGACAAATTTCTGGGTCATGACTCCCCAAAATGGAGGGGCACCGGGGTATCCTAGTTCTCCAATGCTTGAACCCTGCTTGTTAGATCTCCTGCGGTTCACACCGTGTTTCAAGTTCCCTGCAACCCACTTGAAATTTTGGTGTCTTGGCATCTGTGGCCTTAGTGCTTGTGGGCTAAAGAGCCTGCAGTTCATGGTTCATGTTATGGGGCATGTTCCTCCCGTGCTCTTGCCGACGACAGCTTTCAGGTGCATGCCATCGTCCCCAAGCCAGTTTCGCAGACTTGGAGCTTGGGCCGATATCAGCAGGGCGCGAAGCAGCATCTAAGCGTAGGCTCGCGAAACCACAGCCGCCGTTTGGCGATATCACGTCAAAGATTGGCTTAAAAAGTTTCTGCTGGGTGCTTTTGCGGATATTGATATCAGCAGGGCTTGGCGTCTAGGATGTGTTCGCACTGACTTCTTTGGGGTCGACAGATGCTGCTTTTGTTCCACGGTTTCGGCGGGTTGGAAGTTCTGGGTACATTCCTTTTGTGGCCGCGGTTTGAAGAGCGATAGCCTCGAGATTCGGAGGCCTCCGACTCTGAATCTGCACGAGAAGAAGACTGCTTCATGCCAGGTTGAATGCAAAATGCCAGTGCGAGGCCTTAAAAGCATCAATCCGCCCTAGAACTTCGAGCTCCGAGTTAACGAAGGCTGGGGCCCAGAGCATGGAAGGCGGCGCAGCCGCAGGTCCGAACCCCGCGAATCTTGGCAAAGGCATAGCATGTAATGGTAAGCAAAAGGAGAGAGACTACAGACGACTGAACCGCTACTCTTTGAGCATGCTCCCTTGCAGCCCCTACATGATTCAGCTGGTGTGCCAAGACGGATGATGAGTAAGAGTGTCCCCGGTATAGTTGTGGCTTCCCTGTCAGCGTGTAGTGACAATTGGTACTACTGTCCTCTTATAGTTCCTAGAGTAGCTATAGTCTAATGACCCCTCGAATCCTGTATTCATGCGGAGGGTTGACGTCTTGTGGGCTTCCATCGAGCCTACTGAGGCGAGGTTCTTGAATGCTAATTGAATACTGGTGTCATATCTAGGAGAAATTTGCTTGTTCGAGCTGTGTTCGGTTCGCAGTCATACTAGTGGTTAGAGTGGTAGCAATAGTCGTCGTAGTCGTAGTGGTAGTGGTAGTTGCGGTGGTAGTAGTAGTAGTAGTAGTAGTAGTAGTAGTAGTAGTAGTGGTAGTAGTGGTAGTAGTGGTAGTCTAGTACTAGTACTAGTACTAGTACTAGTACTAGTACTAGTACTAGTACTAGTACTAGTACTAGTAGTAGTGGTGGTAGTAGTAGTAGTAGTAGTAGTAGTAGTAGTAGTAGTGGTAGTGGTGGTGGCAGTAGTAGCAGTAGTAGTGGCAGTAGCAGCTGTAGTAGTAGTAGTAGTAGTAGTAGTAGTAGTAGTAGTAGTAGTAGTAGTAGTAGTAGTAGTAGTAGTTAGTAGTCGTCGTCGTCGCCGTCGTACTAAGTAGTAGTGGTTGTAGTAGTCGTAGAAGTCGTAGAAGTGGTAGTTGTAGTAGTGGTAGTAGTTCGTAGTTGCTGTTGTAGTAAAGGAGGATGAGTAGTAATAGTCGTCCTCGTCGTCGTCGTCGTGGTCGTCGTCGGAATGTTAGTGTGTACTGTGTTGGGGGTTTACCACCAGCGGGCTCGTGATCAGGTTACAACATGAACCCGTTTTGAACCCCAGAGCCCGAGCCCCACAATCAGCAAAGCTGCCAGCAGTCGCATCACTGTCGACACGGGGTTGTACTTTGCAGCTGTCGGTAGTTTCTCACGGTTCCCAAGGTCGTGCTGTCGCGAAACGGGTCAGCAAATATGCCAAGCCAAGGCCGCAGAAGGGTTGAAAACTTTAGCCAGAGTGCCTCCCAGGGACGATGTTGATGGAAGCGAGTTCGAGAGTTCGTGGGCTATGAAAACGGTTATGCTGTGATCAAGGGAAGGGGGTGCAAGATACGGGTTTGCGTTCCTGAGACTTCTTGTTTCCGTACTCTGTTTCGGCTATTGATCGCAAACGACATTAAACACGCAGCTTCGCTTCAGGAAGGTGGATCTCTTCTGGGAGTCCTTCGCTTGTTCGGGTCGGAACACTCGAGCAACCTCAACGTCACCTAGTTGGCCTCGAACAAGCTCTAGCCTGGGATACAATCCCTGTGGAAGCTCGAAAGGGGCATCCTGACATAGTTCTCATAGTTACACTCTATAGTTTCGTCTATATCAATTTGACACCAGGTGCTCCAGTCTCGTATTCGAAACCCATCTAGTCTTTTTTCGTCCTGCTCAAGCCTCGATGCAGACGGATACTAGTTTCAACTCGGAGCACCATGCCTACACAGGGCACACAAGGCTCTCATGTGAAGTAGACAGGCGGACCACCTAGCTGAAGCTCAGATTTTGTGTCTTGCTCTGCTAATGGAGTGGCCTCGTTTCCTGCTGATAGCTGCTGTGCTGGTGGCAATACCGCAACATGCGGCAGACGCCGATGCCGACAATGCGCCACTTGGTGGCCCCGGCCCCGGCCCCGCTGACAGATTGCATGTTCTAGCCCACAAGGATTTCCCACAGTTCGAGGCAGCTGAGACCGGGAGAGACTTGACGCTACTCTTCCGGGATGGCAGGGTAACAGAAGAATTTGATTGCTCCACGCCTCGGGCCAAAGATCTGCCCGGCATGGATTTTCGGAGGTTGGAATTGTCCGCAAGCTCGACTGCTGGTGTCTCTTCCATGTGGGCGAACCTGTGGGGAAGTTCGGAAGCAGATGCTACACCGCCGGAGTCCCTGTGGCTTACGGAGGCACGCATCTCAAGCTCTGGCGGAGACACACTCATGCCAAGGCTCAGCGTTTCCTTAGACACAGAGCCGCAGAAAGACGGGCCGATTCAGGTGACTGAAGAGGCGCAGTTCCAGAGTGAGCTGACCGTTTACTATGACTGCTGGCAGAATGGCGAGGCACGCGTCGAGCTACACCTAACACTGGCGACCGACGAGGGGGGTAACCATAGCCAGGAGATTTGTCTAGGCTGGTTGAAGGTTTGCCGCTTAGGCTTTGAAGGCCTCGTGGTGCGTCACGGCGAGTATAGCGAATGGCCCATCTACCCCACCTCCGATGATAGCAGCTGGCCACAAATTGAGCGATGTTGCCTGTCATTCCCGCATCTAGGACGTCTAGTGTGCAGTACCTACGAAACAGGATAGTTGAATACGGCTGGTTGCTATGGACAAAGAGAGCTCAGGCGGAGTTTCCACGCCACCTTTACTGGACACAGAGGGTATCCTCGAGGATGTCACTAAGCTGCAGCTTTCCTCACCAGACGGTGTCTTGGTTGCTTTGGGGCCTGGCGGTTTTGGGATTAGGGTGGTCGTAGGTGATCAACGTGACTGATTGACGGTCTCAACGCGCCCGTCTCGCTCTCCAGGCACCATCCGATTACAGTCGCCGACAGTAGCCAGCTCGGATGACAAGCTCCTGAAAGTTGACATTAGGGGCGCGGCCCTGACGATGACTCAGGGCGACTTCTTCCTCGAGGTAGGCAGCGAGCCCACAGAGATTTCTGTCATCTACACCTGCCAGGGAGCTGGCACCGCAGACGTGGAGCTGGGCCTTTGGCGCGCGGTGATAACATCGGCCCATGCTGCCGAGGGGCTCCATTTGCATTGGCGCAAGCAGTGTGGTGAGGCCAGGTACAAGTTCATGGACATCTTTCTGAAAAGCGATATGAACATGTCCAAAACGCAGGCTGTTGCACACGGCCGTGTTCTGCCGGGCTTTGAGCCGCGATGTCGAAACCAAAGCAGGAGTAGCCATCCTGCCGTGGATGCCATGGGACCCAACAAGTCTCCATCCCAGACCTGTGGATCTCAGTTACCTGTGGTGGAAGTCAGTGACCTAGCTCTCTATTCTCCAACCTTTCTCCATTTCGGGATTCTTGTATAATTCAGTGCTATTCTCAATGTTTAGAGTTCCTATTTTGAGGCCTTTCAGTTTTTGGGGAAGCAAGGTGAGAAGGAGTCCAAGACCAATGTTGAGTTGCGCGTGGATCCGGACGGTATGGTTTTGCCTCCGGCTCTGCAGCACCAACCAGCTGCTTGGCTCAAGAGCTTGGGGCTTAGGGCTCAAGGAATGAATGTGCTCTGCTCTGGGAGCCTAAGGGTTCCAGGTTTCAGGGTGGTATCGGCAATTGAGTTTAAGGGTTTTGAAGTTAAGGTTTAGGGTTGAGGGAATTGCTTGAGACTAACCCGAATAGGAAAGAGGAATTTCTTTGTTGTTAGAGGTATACAACTGGGGCACCGAGGCTGTATCCTTCGACCAGCGGATCGTAAAGGCCTTCATCGCGCGGATGCCCGAGCCCTTTGTGCGAGGAAGGAGCAAAGTGCCTTGTACCAACTGCGACTCCTCACTACGGGCAGCGGCTCCTAAGGCTACATCTCAAAGCATCTTGGCTCTCTTTTGCTTGGCTTTCAGCTTGTCGGTATTTCGAAATTGTTCACCTTAAGGGTGCTAAACGTTTAATTTTTCAGGAGGGGCCAGCCAAGGTATGATCATTAAGTACATCTGTCACAAAGAAGGCATCAGCCCGATCATGCTCACAGTCTATCTGGACGGGTATAAGCCCATCGATGTCGCATGGCAGAAGAAACTTGATTGTTCAGTGGTATTTATTTTATCTTGTTCGTTTCTCAGATGCAGAAAGAAGATGTAACTGACCCAAGAAGCCCTAGATTTTCTCTAACCTCCGAAACCCCTCAAATCCCAACTCCAAACCCGCTGGCCCTACTTGCTACTGAACAGCCTACGAGAAGTTATAGTACGCCCCACCAACACCGCCACCCCTTTCTAAGAATGAAGACGAAAGAAACAATGATTGTTTTTTACCTATGGAGGAGAGAGAGAGAGAGAGAGAGAGAGAGAGAGAGAGAGAGAGAGAGAGAGAGAGAGAGAGAGAGAGAGAGAGAGAGAGAGAGAGAGAGAGAGAGAGAGAGAGAGAGAGGGGAGAGAGATAGAGAGAGAGAGGGGGTGGGGGGGGGGGGGGTGCGGGTTTAAAAAAGCGCAGGAAATGTCGGGAGCCAAAGAAGCCGCATGTCGGCAGAGCGCTTACCGCGCCTCAAGCCATGACCATGGCTTTCCTGGTTTTCTGTCTCCTTTGGAAACTTTTTATTGTGGACTATAGGAGAATAGAACACGTAAAACAGGATAGGATAGACTGCAATGTAGCATGTGTATGTATATATATATATATATGTATCTGGGAAGTTCTATTGTGGGATGTAGAACAATATAGTTGCCACCAAATCGAATAGACTACAATATGGCATCACATGTACAAACATCGATACAGTGGAAATCGTTTTGTCTGGTGTAGCTAAATTGGGCGTTAGGGAAGCAAAGGCGTGAAAACAGATGTATAGCAGACCGTTGGCCTCTGCCAGTGACACATGCAAGGTGTGTGGACTCATCGGCGTCGTTGTTTGCATGGTATGCCTCTTCTGCAGCTCTGACTCGAAAGAGAAAGAGAAGCTGTTCTTGGGACGAGGCCATGGCAGTCTCCAAAACGAGTGATCCCACTATTCTATAGACCTTGGCGAACAACAGCTTGCATATAGGTGCACCCCAGCAGACTCCTAACGTCTACAAGCCCCCGCATGGCCTGGCAATCTGAGATTGCCAAATGCATATGAACTTTCTGGATGGTTGGTATGATATTCTCCGAAATTTTATCCCGTGGACAGGAACGAGCGGGGGAGGTCGACAAATTGAGTTCGGTCGTCTCGGACCTGACTCGCAAAGAGTTGCTTAGTTCTCCAATACCCGGCCGCAAGCTTTGTTGGCTTTTCATCGTTTACTACTATGTTGAAAGTTAGGCGCTAGTTTCCCTAAGTTATTCGGGGAACAAGGTTGGCATCGGCTCGGACGATGAGGTGGTATTTCACTGACAGGCTGGTATGAGCAGATGCGTAGCCACCAAGAGCTCATCGCAGACAGCAAAGGAAGAAACAGAGGGCAGGGGTTTAAGGTTTAGGGTTTAGACCTAGACCCTGAATCACGGTCCTCTGGCCCTCTTGATCGGCCTCCTCTGAGTCAGGGGCATGAGGTCCACTGAACGGATCTCGGAACCCAACGGCAAAACCGCCATGCTCTGGGTATGAGAACTTCCTAGAGACGAACACAGCTCGACCCTAGACGGAAAAGGGGGCATAGGCTTTGATGAGGTTTGTTTCTTTGTTGGCCGAAGACGAAGAAGCTCTTGAAGCTACTCCTGGCACGAGCACATATGTAAGTCCGAAGCCCGACTGACTTTCAAAGCCCCAGAAGACTCTCAGTCATTTATTTTTTCAACATGCACATCCTCAATCCAATGTTGTGAGGATCCAAAGAGTTGGCACTTTCCCCTCAAACCTTGACTCCAAAGTCAAGTTTCTCCCGACACGGTAGATTTGTTGGAGCCATTCACTCTCCATAAGGATGCCTGAATCACGGCTTAGCATACAATCTCCGCTGGGGCACTAGTTTTGGCAGCGAATACCTGTGGTTCCTGCTACGTCCGAGTTGTGAGCGTCGAAATCATCACTGCTACCGAAACCCGACATAGGTTGATCATAGGAGGGCAAAAGGGGTTTAAGCCTATGGGGGTTTAGTAGGGATGAGAGCTCCCATAATAGGGTTCATATTAAGGAATCCCTACCCCAAGAATCTTAAACCCCCAGCATACGGGGTTTTTGAAAAAGAAGGAAACCTCAATAGGAGGTCCGAAACTGAGTAAAAATGCTCATTACATATGGGCGGTAGACTCAACTTTTCAACTGTTGGGGGTTCTTATAAGGTAGCCGATTCTGAAAGTTTCAACTTGAATCTCCTTGGGTTTTGGGCCAGTGAGATTATGAGGACGGGACCCTGAGTTTGGGAAGCCCCAAATGTGGCTGAACAGTCACAAGCTGAACCCACGAATCTCAAGAGGATGTCTCACCCCGGGTAGTCCGATTGTGAGCGCAGAGGCCAACACTTCCATAACGAGCTGGAGAGCTTCAACCCCTGAACCCCGAAAGCTACAAAGCACGGATTCCGAAAGACAACCTTGAAACGAAGCTCTAAAAAAGTGCAACCCGCACAACCCTAAACCCCAGGAGTCCTAGTCCCGATGAATACCAAACACTGGAAACACAACGAAACATGTTGAAAGTCTGAGACCCTATAGACCTTCAACGCGGTGAATCCTTCATGAATCCAAAATCCTGTAAGCCCTACAAATCCTAAGCGCTTGGGGTATGTTGTACTAAGACTTTGTAGAGGCAAAAAAGGGCCTAGTCTTAGCAAGTATTCAATCCTTCTTAGTCCGGGTAAGCCCTAAACCCGAGACCCGACATCCACAATCCTAGGGTACACTCTAGTACACTATAGGACAATAAAGTAGAATCTAGTATAATGTAGTATAAAATAGTATGATGTAGTATAATATAGTATAATGTATATAGTACAATATGACTCTGCAGGAGAGTCTTCCGCGAGTCCTGGGCTCCGGACCTCGCCGCAAGGATCTCAGCGGCTCAGGTGTGGGATTTGGGGTGAAAATTTCGGGCTCTCGTACTTTCTGTCAGGGTGGTACAGGGTTTCTCACAGGGAAATATGTCATGGCTTCTCATGGCTTGTTGTATGGATGCCATGAGCTTCTTCGAAGGTCGGGGGCTTTGAGGGTTGAGGATTCAGGCCTTCGGATGTCGGTTCCGGGATGTAGTCAAAAAAACAGTTTCAGGCAAGACCATTCCCTTCTTTAGTATGGCTCTAGAGAAGGATGCGACAGAACCTGTCTTGTACCCTTACACCTTAAATACGTTCTTTAAGGCTCCAAGAATGTTTAGAGGAGCCAGATTCTTCGTACCAAGTCCCGATATGGACACCTTCATCCTGGGAAGTAGGGTACGGCTGGCAAGTGATCAAGTCTGAAGCTTGGGGACCATAGGATGCAAGGCTTTGCGGTTGTTGTATGCGTTAACAAGTTTGTTGGTGGCTTCTGGAATCGAACCCTCGTGCAGTGTCCTTACTGCAGTACGGGGGTTTTAAGGAGCTGGCACCTATGTTTATGCTTGGTGACAAAACATCTCGAATTCTAAGCTGCCTCGAAGTTCAAGCCTACACCTACAATTATGGCCACCGTGCTGACGTATTCATGCACACGTCTGCGGGCAAATGCAGACATGCACTTTCTATGCGTTTAAACACTTCCGTGGCTCGGAAGGCACTTAGGTCTTGCACTGCTTCGTGCGTGCTGCAGTTGAGAGGAAAACCCTTGATTCGTTGCTGAAGGTCACGAAAGATGGGTAAGCAACGACGCGCTTGTGTAGGATCGCCACTGGAAACCATTGAAAGTTTAGGATGTACTGCTTGGAGCTGGGGAGGGGAACATGTGCATTCGTATGGCCGTGGTCTGCATGCAAAGAAGTCTAGTCGAGAACGACCTCCCATGCAAGCATGCTTGTCCCCACGCTCCGCTCCGATCAAAGGCTTGTTTGGAAATTCTTGCAAAGATTCGCGCACGGCCTCCTGCCGTTGCAACACGATCCAAAACCAGATCCCAAGTCAGTTCTGACTGCCTGACTCAAGACCTGCAGTGACACTGTTTCTTGCTTGGTAGCCATAAGCAGCATTTGCTGCAGAAGCATTGTACGCATCACCATTGTGCACGTGGTCCGCCTCTTCCCCGCCTGAAACATAAAGGCAATCCTGGCTTGCCACCATCGCCATGTGATCCCTCATGTTTCTGTTGGGTTGTCTGATGAATACTCTTGCCCGCAGTGGCGGTCACAATTTGTATTTCAACATCATGTGACAACCTAGGTAGCAATCTGTTCCCACATGTCGGCACAGCAATACAGACTCACAACCAATCGCCAATGTTGTCGATAGGATTCTTGATCATAGCTATAGCATGGTATACCCCGAAGCCCTCTTCTGCCAAGGCCCCTGTGTGATGTTGTCAGCCGGAGCTCTGCGCTATAATTACACTTCAGAATGAGGCCTTAGACGTTGCGGCGGAGCGCGGCGACGTTGCTGCGGCTGAGGCTGAGACGGGGTTTGGGGTCTCGGGTCTCGGGCTCCTCGAAACCCAGACCCCCGAGAAGTCCGCTAGTTCCTTTCGGGCTAAGAGTTCAATCTTGCGGCTGGGGTCCAGGATGGTTTAGGGCTTCAAGTCATGTCATAGCTGATTATTATACAAATACTTCGACAGAATACTCTGAAGTTTCAAAGCACCTCTTGTAGGTGAGGGGTCCTTCAGGTGTAAGGACTTAGAACTCTGCCCTTTCGAATGGCAGTATCAGGATTGGAAGCTTTGGGTGTTGTCGCTGGGATTTCGAGCTCTTAGGGTTTTAAGTTTGAGGTGGGTTCAATGGTTTTGGGTTTTGGGCTCGTGGTTAGGGCGCTTGTTTTTGGAACATGTGCACTTTGTTGTGTTTTTCGACGACTAAAAGTGTGGCTTTATCCTGGCCCATGGGGTGCTTAACCTGGCTCCCTCCCAACCTATGGGCCAGGGTTCAAGTTTGGGGGTTTAGAGTTAATACTCCCGGCCTACGGTGTACGTAGGACTTCGGTCTCCGAGGCGTGAGGTGGGAAAGGAAGTCGGGGAATTGTGGTATGCTTTAGACATCGCAGCTAGCAGCTAGCACCCTGCACTATCCATAGAGCCTGAACAAGCAGCCATCCCAGAGCCCAGAACCCTCGCTGCCAACAGTTTCAAACCCCGGATATCTAATTGGAACTCTGCTTTTGCCTTCGGTTCTGCATCCCGAGAGCTTCCAGGGGTTTGTCGGAGACGGATGTGCTGTGGAGAACTGGGGACCTTATGCCAGAGCACCAACACAACCTACTCGGCGGGCAGCAGAGCGGCAAGGTTCTCGGAGGTTGAGAAACCGATACTCACGTACCTTACCGTCACATTTTCTCGCCTTGAAAATCACGTTTTAAGCCTGCAAACTTCTGCAAGGCTTTGTATGGCAAGCTCGAGCAGGTCCAGGCTTGGGCGTTGTACGACATTGCAAGCAGTGGTACTGAATTCTCTGATTGTAAGCACTGTATTACTGAAATTTCTAGCTGCATAGTGCATTTATGTCATGATACGCCAACTGGGATTTCGGCACAGGTGTGGCAATGCCGGGTGTTTACCAGTTGTGTGTGTGTGTGTGTCTCTGTGTGTGGGTGTGTCGGTGTAGGTGTAGGTGTGTATGTCTGTATGTAATTACGTATGTATACACACGTGGTTGTAAAAGTCTATGCTGTAACATGCAGTCGTGCTGAAGCACTTTTCCATATGAACTAAACTTGTGTATATGAAAGTGTGTGTGTATATATATATATATATATATTTATATTTATATATATATGCAGATACGTGTACTACTGTTTTCTGTGTGTTCACCAAGCTTTGCATTTTAACAGGCAAACATGCTTGGTCTGTGGTGCTTCGAAAGGAGCAAGCTCTACTTCCCACTGCCAGGTTAAACCACATGTTCGCCGCATGTTCGCAAGGGACCCAGCTGCTGCATCGAGAGAAGCTCCCGCGTTCAAAACTACTGTGGTGGCGTAGCTTGGGGAGAACGGGCCATTGTGAGCAGAGCTTCAGGTGAGGACACTTTCAGCGTTTCGGGTTCATAGCGGGATCACTGCCTTTTCTGGTTGGAGTTGAGGCCCTGCCTAGTTGCTTGCGGCGCAGACATATGCAACGCTTCAGCTTGGTACCTAGTAGATGCACCCCGAACTCTCTGTAGCTGCATCTATGTGCGCGAATTCCACTGCCCGAGCCTTGCAGATGACTTAGGGACTTAGGGTTATTGCCCTGCCTCAAACACTACGATCCTCGTCCGAAAGCCAAGGCGTTCTCGCCCTGAGCCGCCCAAGCCTGATGACTAGTATAGGGGCCTGAATACATGCCAATACTACATCTTAC